ACTCATCTATGTTATGTTGTTGTTGTTGTTATGTGCCATCAAGTTGGACCTGATTCATAGCGACCCCTCCTTGGGTTTCCAAGGCAGTATCTCTATGGAAGTAGATTGCTCAACCTTCCTTCTGAGGAGTGGCTGGTGGCTTTGAACCACCAGCCTTCTGGTTAGCAGTCAAGTGCCTTAGGCACTACGCCACCAGAGCTCCCTTAGGGACATATATTAAATTTTAAAAGTTTCTAAAATACCAAGTATAGATAGACCTTTAGGAGCTCTGGTGGCATAGTGCCTAAGGCATCTGACTGCTAACCAGAAGGCTGGCAATTCAAACCCACCAACTACTCCTCAGAAAAAAGGTTGGGCAATCTACTTCCGTAGTGATACTGCCTTGGAAACCCAAGGAGGGGTCGTTATGAGTCAGGTCCGACTTGACGGCACATAACAACAATATACTGTATGCTTTTCTCTCTCCCTACACCAAGGTATAGCTGGCATAGTTTCTTTCCTTGAGTAGCTAGCATTATTATGAGCATAATTTAATATAATGAGTTCCAGATGAATCTAAACTTATAAGCAGTGTAATAAAGAACAATAAAACAAGATGGATTTGAACAGTGGTCTTGGGAGCCTTTTTCAAAGGCTCTATACAGGTCTCCAGAAGGTAGATAGAATCAACTCAACAGCAATGTTTTGCTTTTGTTGTTTTTTTTTTTTTTTTTTAAATAGGTTTGCCTCTTTGTCGTTTGTTTCTTTCTCCCTAACGGTATATATAAGATAACCATTACACACAGCTAGGCAACATAGCACAGATGGCTGTCTTTTAAAATAGCACAGTTATTATGCTCAAGCAGAAGGAATTTTCTTTCAAGTGTTTCTCCTGTTCTCAAGGAATTCACTTCTTTACTGTTTCTATCAGTGTCCTTTAACTAAGCAGAATGCATAACAATTTCTGTGTATGTATCAGTAACAGTACTTTCAGTTTATACCCACTCATCTCCCGTCATCTAAATTTGATCCTCAAGACCAAATGCAGACTATACCTCATCACTCAAGCCTTTATAAAGAGGGAAAGGAAAAAATGCCGTGTCCAGGGCATTCTCTGGTAAAGATGGTGAACTGAACACAGGCATTTTGTTTCCAGTTACCCTATCAAAACAGTAAAAGAGATTCCCCCTCTCTCTCTTTTTCTCTCTCTCTCCCAGGCCAAAGATAACAAGAGGAGAAAGTAGCAGCAAACCTTCTAAAAGCAGATGGATGAGTGGTAACTGACTTAACAGACATGAAAAACCTACATCTTAAAAAAGAATTAAGAAAAGGCAAAAAGCAGTCCAATTTTCTCCATAAAACCCCCACCTTCACTCCCATAAGGCCCAGAAATTGTTAGACCAGACACCACTAAAAATAGGGGTAAAGAAGGGAAGAAAAGAGGATTAAATAAAAGTCTGTCTATGAAGATTTAAAGGGCCCAATGAAGACCTAACATAATGTATGAAAGACAGCTATACCCAGGCACATCACCATAACATTTTAAAACACTGTGGGGCAAAGCTCTTATAAGCTACTCCAAAAAGAAAATGAATAACTGCAGCAAATCTGAGAATTATTTTCTGAAGAAGGTAAAGCAGTTGAGGGCCTGGATACCCACGCTGAAAACTAGGAAATGAAGTAAAAGTTTACGTACTGAGTGTTTAGATCACCCCTCCTCTTGCTTTTTCTCACTCAGATCTCAGAATACTTAAAGGCTTATACCTTCCAACAAGAGAATGGAAGTGCTTCTCGAGGGAATCAGACCAGCTCAAGAGAGAAAAAAAAAAAATCTAAATATAGTGGTATTAAGGATATCCCCAGGAGCTCTGGTGAGGTAGTGCCTAAGGCATGTGACTGCTAACCAAAAGGCTGGCAGTTCAAACCCACCAGCCACTCCTTGGAAGGAAAGGTGGGAAATCTACTTCCATAGAGATACTGCCTCGGAAACCCAAGGAGAAGTTGCTATGAGTTGGAACCGACTCGATGGCACATAACAACAACAACATGAGTGGAAATAGATTCAATGGAAGTAGGTTTGGTTTAAGTCTAAAGTAAGAGGGGGGTGGTAAAACAATTACAGCAGAAAAAATAGCAATGTTAACACAATGTGTAAAAGGTAACCAATGTCACTGAACAGTATTTATAGAAATTGTTTTCACATGTATATTTTCACCAAAAATAAGTTTAAAAAAAAGAACACTTCAGAAAAATTACCGTTGATAATTTCAAAGATAACAAAAAAAGAGTTCTTATAAATTAAATATATGAAAAGATAAAATGAACAACTCCATAAAAGGTTAGAAATACAGCTGAGGAATTTTCTCAAAAAGACAAAGATTACATAAATAGTATTAAGAGAGAAAATAAAATTAAACCAGTTGAGTAGCCCAAATGCCAAATTCTAGAGAGAGAGAATGAAGAAAATGAGGAGGAAGAAATCAAATAAATACTTTAAGTTTGTAGATTTAAAGGGCCCAATAACATAATGTATGAAAGACAACTATACCCAGGCACATCACCATAACATTTTAAAACATTGTGGGGCAAAGCTCTTATAAGCTACCAAAAAAATAAGTCACATACAAAGGATTAAGAATCAAAATAGCATTAGAGTCTCAAAAAAACACTGGGAGCTAGGGCAAAAAATAAAACTTTTAAAATGTGAGAGAAAATTATTTCCAACCAAGAATTCTATATTCAAACTTTTAATGAAGCATGAGGGTAGGCGAGGGAGACTTTTTCAGACAGGCAAGGACTCAAAATATTTACCTCCATAGCTCTCTTCTCAGGGGCAAAATGGATGGTTTGCTCCCTAACATGAGTAACTAAGAGGAAGCCACAGGACTGTAAGAAATAGATCTAACACAAGAAAGATGTGTTGAATCCCCAGGATTGGAGTGGAGTGAGATCCTACAACAGTCTAGCCCAGAGCAGGTCAGGCGGAGGATTCTTATTCATGAATTATTTGTTTATCCCGTGTGTGTGTCTGAATACATTGGCAGGATATTCAAACTGTGGGAGAAGTGGAGTAGGAAACTAGGTAAAGAAACAAAAATAGATACTTACTAATTCTATGGGAAAAAAAAAAATTGCACAAGAAAAGAAAAGTAATTATAATGAACTTTATGGCTCTATGGCTCAGGAATGAATACAATTTACAGAGTCATAATAATGCACATACCAAAAACTGTTCTAACCAAAATTATGATGGGAAAATGGCAGTAAAGGAAGGAGGTATGTGTGTGAATATGGCCTGGGGGTGGGCAGAATGCATTTCTGGATGAGAAATACAGTTGAACTCTTACTTTGCATAACAACAGTTAATTGAAAAAAATAAAGAATTAGTGCATACAGGATGTTATATAGAGATACAGAGGTAATCAACAAATAAATTAGTTGAAAAAATTTTAAATGAGTGGCTCTGAGGAACAGAAAATCTGAGGTATGTTAGGGATGGGAAGAATTGTCCTTTTTTCTTAAAAGCCTCAGAGAGAACATTGTTGTTGTTGTTGTTGTTATGTGCCGTCGGGTCGGCCCCGACTCATAGCGACCCCTCCTTGGGTTTCTGAGGCAGTATCACTACAGAAGTAGATTGCCCAACCTTCCTTCCGAGGAGTGGCTGGTGGGTTTGAACCGCGAGCCTTCTGGTTAGCAGTCAAGTGCCTTAGCCACTGTGCTACCAGAGCTCCCTATATAGATGTTATACAATTAATAAGGAACTCTCAATAAGCAGTTGTTAAAGCACTCTGCTGTGAATCAAAAGGTCAGCGGTTTAAACCCATCAACTGCTCCACAAGAGAAAGATGTAGGAGTCTGCTTCTTTAAAGATTACAGCTTTGGTGTATGGAAAGTGAATTTGCTCTGTAAACTTTCACCCAAATCACAATAAAATTTTAAAAAAAGATTACAGCCTTAGAAACTCCATGGGACAGTTCTACCTTGTTCCTTAGGGTAACTATGAGTCAGAAGTGACTCTATGGAAGTGGGTTGAGTTTGGTTTTTAGACCCAATTAATAGTTTATATTGAGGCAATATAAAAAATGTAAACTTTTTTTCTAGAGATACATATGAAAATATCTAGCAGTGACATATCACAATATCTGTACTTTAAATATTCTTCAAAAAAGCACATAAAACATTGTAAAATGTTAATCATTGTTAAATCTAGGTGATGGATTCTTTTTTATTTTCTAATTTTTCATATATTTTGTCATTTTGTTCTTGTATTTTTTTCCAAAATTCTTCTAAGATTTTTTCTGTGTTTTCTTTGGTCTGTCTCTCAATCCTTTGAAGATACC